GGCCACCGGATATGGTGCCCGAAGCGCCTTCTCAGATCGGTTGGGATAACAACGTAAATCACAAGCCTGTCTAAACATGGGATTCGATTGGGCTATCCGTACCGCGTCCCAACCGATTAAGCATGCGGTCCGGAAATCCCGAGTCGCCCCTACCGCCGGCCATCGAGGTCCGGTATCGATTGGGACAACCCAAGCCTACCCAACCCGGTAGGGACAAGTCGGGACATCCGGAGCCTATCCCGACCGTCCCCAACCGCATCCCGGACGAATTGCTGGCTGGGCAAACACCCCCGGCCCGGCGCGGGTTAACCCTCGCCGGCACAGGGGGGGGGGGGTATGCAACCCCCCAAGGTTTTTCGCGACTCGCGTAAAAGCGGCCGATTGCGACGAAACTTTCAGTACCCTCGCATTAATCAATTTTACACCTACCCTGAAAATTTCATGACCCTGACCCAAATGACCTTTGACCTGTGAACCCTTTTCCGTGACCATGTTCGGCCGTAATCGCGATTCGGCGAATGTATGTCGGCACGCATTAGCCGCGCGTTTGCAAGCTTTTCGTGGTTTCAAACGTTCAAACATGTGATTTGATGTTGCTCCCATACATTAGGGTGGGTGTCAAGGTCACCTGAAGGTCAGGTCAGGTCATTGACCTTTTGTGACTTCGGTTCACTTTTTCGAGTTTTACATGTTTCTAGGCTAGTTTTTGGAGCTGAAATCGAATTTAGCAACCATTTGAACATTTCCGAAGTAGTTTTGGTGACTTCGTAACATGTTACGAAGCTGTCAGAGGCGGTTGACACGTACTACGAATACCCGTCACGACGCCTACTGGTTGACCTGACCTGACCTGACCCGACCTGGTCTAAATGCTTAAAGACATCATCTGTGATCAAAACTAACACGATATTCGTGATCAGCACCCCGAAAACCCCTTGGCAGCCACACTTTACGACTTTCTAACAGGTCCCGATTTTCCCGACTTTGGGTCATTGACCTGACCTGGAAGGTCAACCAATGACATAGGACCTTAAAATTGGGTATCATCGGCTTCCTCTCGTCACTGGCAACACGCTCGGTTTTTTCGGCGAAGCTCTAGCTCGATCAGGGGCCAAACGGCAAGGGGGGTCCAATCGACCCCCCCCCACACACACACACACATTAGAAGAGCTGGCAAACGCCGCACACATGCGAGGGTTAAGCTAGATCCAATTTGCTTGCATGGGAGGACTCAGAATGGACTGAGCTATCAAATTACCATCTCGAATTTTCAAAATTTTCAAAATTTTGAAAATTATATATATTTAAATTTAAAATTTATGTTTTTATCTTTTTCAAAAAGTTTTTGACTTTTCGAAGAAAAAAAAACGGAATACCTATATATGATAGAACAACTGCTTATGACTTACCTATTCTAACAAGTTTTAGCCAGATATCTTCAAAAATGGCCAAGGTACACGTATTTTAGCAAAAATTTCACAATTTCAAATTTTCAAATTACTTTTTGCAGTACGAATTTGATTCGTACACCAATAGGTATAAACAGCTCCATCGTGTTCCGATGGAGCTATGTGTGCACTGCGTGTGCACTGTTTATCTCCTACCGCGATGAATAAACCGGCTGAATTTTTTGTATCATCTCTTACTCTCGGTTAATCCGCGTCCTGCTGGGCTATTCAGTCATACGTGCCCTGCTGAGGGGGGGGGGGGGGCGATTCCGCCCCTTTCCAACTTCCGAACCAATGGTCGTTATAGAAAGGCCGGAAAACGGTAGTCGATATCTCTCAAGAAGGACCTTTGGAGCCGATTTTTTTTTTGGCTTAGTGTGTCAGAGGTCATGTCAAGGTCAGTTCAAAGGTATAAGTTTATACATTATCGGCTTTGAAGCGTAGCTGACGAGAAATGAATGCCCGAGATTGATTGCCTAAAACGCATTCTAAGGCTATCTAGACAAGATGCGTCGCCTACGATGCTATGCATAGGTCAAGGTCAAAGTCAGGTCAGGTCCCTATTGAGAAAAACGGGAGGGAGCAGACTCTGCCCCACCCCACACCCCCACGCGCAGTAGAGGACGGAGGTGGGGCGAATTTCGCGGATTATAACTAGTTCTTTTTTATACACGCTGTCACCCTCACAAATCTTTGACAGTTTCAGTGCAACGGTTCAGTCGGTTTAGCTATGATAAACCTTTAGATTTTTGTTCAGTTTTGGTAGCTTGATGTGACCTTTTCAATTAACCTTGAATGACCCATGTCCGCAACTTTAACAACTCGTTGAAAAGCAAATCATTTAGGGGAAGTTGGGGGAACGCCGAAGACTTTTTTTCTGACGCCCGTAGCACGCAAGGTAGACAACATAAGCTATTCTTGTTGGCGTCATTCGAGAGGCCAGTCTTTTGCCTTTCAAACATACCAGGCGCATTTGATGAATTCGCATAGGTACCCTTAAGCGCACAAACTAAAAATATCAAAGAAGTGACTTTTTCGGCGTTGCCCCGGACTGCGGGGAAAGCCGAAAATGGGAGAAATGATCTACGGGGAATGCCGACATTGATGTTTTGCCAGTTTATCTCAAACTTTATCCAGAATTCATCAAAGCTGACACGCGTTTTAACCCTCGCCCATGTAGGGGGGGGGGTTGGTGCAACCCCCCCCCCCTGAGGTTTTTCGGAAATAGTGTAAAAACGGCGGCGCGCAGCGCCGCCAAATTTTGGGTACCTTATGGGGCAAACCTTGCGCATCTTTTGATAAAAAAAAATTGACCGGGTCATGTCAGGTCACGGAGTTATGACGTCACAAAAGGAACAGCCTCCGGCCGGATTTTCACAAACTGAGTGCCAACGCCCGAGGTTTCCTGCCGGTGGTACGGACATCGGTTGATGGATCGTGATGAAACTTCCCATGCATATTGGGGCAAGTATTGGCTATCATATGGTATAAGAAATTTGACCGGGTCAGGTGAGGTCACGGAGCTATGACGTCACAAGAGGAACAGCGTCCGGTACTATTTTTGAAAAGCGCCCGAACCACTATTTTGCTAATTCTTGTCACCTCAATGGGAATATGCAGCAATATTAGCTTCTATAGGGAGCAAATGGACCTCCCAAATCCAAAAATACAATCAGATTTCAAAAATTTAAATTTTGATTTTTCGAATTTCTGCCGCCGACTGTGACCTTGCCGACTTCCGGCGCTCCCAACGCGCCATTTTTAGAGCTAGGGAAACGAAATACATACCAAACGATAGAGAATTGATCAAGGAACACGATAGTGAAGGTTTCAAGTCGATATCTCCCACCGTTTTGCCGCAATCGCCGCGGAAAGTTGAAAAAAGTCTATTTTTCCGAAAATTTGACCTTTGACCGGTCAAAAGTAGGTCAAATGTTGACCTAGGACCAAAAAATATACCACCAATCGCGAGATCTCGGCGAGAGCAATCCGATGGTCTTTTCCGCTAAGCTCTACGACGCTCCGTTTTCAAACGCCAAGGGGGGGTCGCACCAACCCCCCCCCCCCCCTGCATGGGCGAAGGTGGCAGATCGCCGTTTACGGGCGAGGGTTAAGAGCTTGAGGACGCGGTGCACACTGGAAGTTATAATTGTGTGATATAATAAGAAAATGCCAGGTAAATTATTCCTTATAGGTAACAGGCCGTTGTGTCGGTTGAAAGTGTAATTTGTGTGACTAAAAATACGCGTTGCTATTCTACAGCAGTAAAGTCCACGTAGCGTGCTTTTAACACGTGCGTAATCGCACTTTTTCGGCATTACCCCAGCCAGCCATACTTTCATTTGCAGGCCCATAACTTTTCAACGTGCTGTATAAATTTCAAATAGGCAGCACATTTATGCAAAGACATGCTAAAGATTACTTGACCGAATTGGCCAGACAAACGGTAGCATAATGAGTAAGAAATGCAGCTTAAAAGGCGCATGTAGTACAAGGGAAACGTATTTGTTTTTGTTTGTTTTGTTGGGTTAGGCCTAGAGATGTCAATCGGATACCAACTTTTTGGTATACCGATACCAAACCGATACCAACTTGGTATTTGGTATTTCAATCCTAATGTGTTCGGTATTTTGTTGGTATTATGAACCCTTACTAATGCATAAGTGGCTAAGAAATCGGTAAAAAGTTGGTATTTCCCTCATCTTTCAAAGTTGGTTCGGTTTCGGTATTTCCCCACGGTGTTGGTTGGTATTTGGTTTGGTATCGGTATTCCGATTTTCTGTAATTGACATCACTAGTTAGGCCCTTTCGGTCGACAAGACCATTGCAGAGCCGGAAGGATGATAGGAATTAGGGGAGACATTGGTCTGGGCAGGCACCCTAGTGAGTCGCCGGGGCTGAGCCCGTCCAGAGGACAGGCCACCCAGCCCCAAGGCACTCACTGCACCCGGCTACGGGGTGCGCTCCCTCGGGAGCAGCGGTGCCGCTCCAAGGGAGCAGCCCGCATGAGATAAAGTTGCCTGTCCAGCCCGGAGGGGGGTTGCGGCGTGGAGGAGAAGGATTTCAGTATCCTGAGGATAGAAGCACGGATAGGTGAAGGGAAACGTACCTTGAAAACGCTCTTGGCGCCCTCACAGTCGAAGTATTCCCAATGACGACTCGTAACAAACATGCGATAATTGTAGTCACTTCAGAGCTAGCTTCAGAGCATCACTGACAGGTGGCATCCATGTCTTACGGTTTTCGAAATATCTCGAATTTCGGCTTTGCCCCAACTCCGGCATTGCCCCAACTTCCCCTATAGGCACGGTTAGTAATAAGCCTTCGCGGCGCTGATTGATAGGTATTTCATTGCGCTCTATTATCTCTTTGGTGAGTGAAATACCTATATATGTTACGAGTAGCTCCAAACGCCAATTACATGAATAAGAATATTCTGCCTTGACCAGTTCTAGCAATTAAAAAAGTGTGTGTATGAGTATGTGTGTGTGTATGTTTAGTTGGTTGCCTAGTTGCCAATGACGTCGTGCAGCGGTTGGCATGGTTACACAGCTCTGCGTCGCCAGTCGCTATGGCCACGCTCTCTGATCGGCGTGTCGTCATGGAGATCGCCGAGATCGTGCGGCACGCAGTCAATACAGCGCGGATGCAGGCCACCAGAAGGCACCGCAGAGGGTGTCGAGACAGCGAGCAGCCGCCGCCACAGCCGTGCCGTGCCGCCCTCCCTCCTATAGCGCGCCCATGACGGCTGAGAAGCCAGCGGCGGCCGCCAAGAAGCTTCAAGCCGTGGGCCAGGAGACTCTGGCGGAGGACAGCCAGGACAGCCTGGCGCGCTACAACACCATCATGGTGACCGTGATCCTGGCCATTTTCTCACTCTGCGTCATGGTTACCACTGAGGGTAAGTGTCCCACGGTCTTGCTCACCGGGAAGGAGATGAGCTGATATTTACATCACCCACGGTTCGAGGTTTGGTTCATCAGCGAGGGATATTGATAATATATGTTGCCGTATGTTGTCTATTCATTATCTTGGGGAGTGTGTAAGCATCAAGTATTGATCTACCACAAAGGCAATCCGCCTGTATTTGCGTGTGAATAATAAGGTGTGGGAATAGGAGTCACGGACACTCACAGGTAGCTTGGATGTTAACAAGTCGACAGCAAGAAAGGCGTTTCGATGATTACAAGTCAACTGAAATGAAGCCGAAAGCGTCTTTACAACTATTCGGCATTCACTGAAGACATGCACAATGCACATTGCACACTAAGACATGGGCTACTCATACTGTTAAGCAGCTGACTATATACTACATCCGCGCTTTTTACGGAGCGAGCGAAGCGAGCGGAGTCTTTCGCATATGTATATGTAGATTGTAGATTAACGGAAATTTATGAGCATGAGCGGCCGGTCGCGGCCGTGGGGACGCTTTTGCGAGGCTTAAATCTCAGCAACCACTTGACCGATTTACATGCGGTAATTTTTGTAGGGTAGCGTCGTTCCTTCTACCAAGTTTTGTACCTACTGTTCCCGATGCATGTGGGTGACCCTATATGTGCCACGTGCCACGTGCAAAACGAAGAGATGTCAGTTTTGTAATAATTGCAATATCTCGGTAACTACTGGGCCGATTGCGCTGAAACTTGGCATGCAGGTAGGCACCCAGTACCCACTAGGCCACTAGGCAATGCATATCCATGTGCCACAGTTGGGGTGCTGCTGCACGTGCGCACGTGCAGGGGTCGATTCCAGATCTCGAGAACAGCTGGACCGATTGCGCTCAAATTTGGTACGCGGTTAGGGGCCGTTTAGTAGGGTGCCGTGCAAAAGTCAGTTGGGACCCATTTTGCACGTGCGCACCTGCAGGGTGCCGCTTGCAAATCTCGAGAACGGCTGGGCCGATTGTGCTCAAATTTGGCACATCGCTAGAGACCGGTTACCGGTTAGTAGGGTGCCGTGCACAAGTCAGTTGGAGGTACCCCCTCGCAATGTCGCACGTGCAAGGCCCACCCTCTCGCTCGCTCCGTTAGTCGCCCCAAAAGGCGTTATCCCGCGCCCTGGTGGGGTCTGTTTATAACGCGACCTGGTGGGGGGGGGGCTATTTTTTTGCCCCCCCCCCTCGTATCTCCGAAACTACTGGACGAATCCACAAAATTCAAACGGCGTTCGAAAGGCCTGTCAAATTTGTCGCAGGAAACCAAATTTCATTGACCTCGGGGTCACCGATGACGTCACAGGTCAGGTCAAAGATGAAATGTTTCTCCGTTCACGGGTGTTTTAGGGAATGCGCTATAACACCGAGGAAAACGCATTTTCTCGAGAATCAGCGGTAGGGCGTCAGTTGCCTAGTAGATATGTTGCTATTAGAGGTCACTGGCAATACCAGGTCAGGTCACAGGTCAGGTCACCAAGGGTCACAGGTCAGGTCACATGAGCCCAACTTTACTAAGGTTGTGTGATACATGTTTTATGGCCAATTTTTCATTCCCAACTCAATGGTGTTGGTTATAAGACTATCAGGTACAGCTAAGGTCACTTTCTGGTGAAGTTCAGGTCAAGTTCAGGTCAAGGTCAGGCCAAAAAGGTCAAATTTTAAAGTTGATAGTTTTGCATAAAATGGGTATTGATTCGATGCAGCTCGTCACGGGGAGTCTAATGGTGGTCTTTGTTTTGCGCTACGGGGTCTAGAATTGCTAAAAATTGAGTTTGAAAATTTGACGTCATCAATTTTGAACAGTATTTTCGCTATAAATTCGCCAAAAAAAGAGATATCAATCTCAAATTTGGTATGTGGATGGAAGGCGGTAAGGACTATCACATATATTCCGGTTTTTGCGAAATTCAAAAAAACTTTTTGGATTTTTCGATAATTATATCCAAAAAAATTATTTTTTGATTTTTGGGGGTCAAAATCCTAAAGTTTAAAAAATCCGAGATAGCAGTTTTGTAGCCCTGTCCAATCTACAGCTTTTATGTCCTTATCATTTTTCTGTATTTGCAAAGCTATAGGCCTGACAGCTGTTCCCGCGAAACCCTTTTTTGGGTCGAAAACGGCAGAACATGACGTCACTCTGACGTCATTTCCGGCCAACCTATCATAGCCATTGGAAAAATTTTTGGTCACAATGTGTAAAATTGATGTCCGGGAGGGTACTGAAAGTTTGGTGACGATCGGCGCAGCGGTTCTGGAGATATATCGAAAAGTCTGGAGGGGGGGGCAAAAAATAGCCCCCCCCCCCACCAGGTCGCGGGTTAAACTGGTACCGTTGTTTTATCAACACAAAGTAAGGGCTACTGACTTTAAAGTAAAAAGAGAGGAGAATGTAGCGGCAAAGGCGAACCTCTTTTGCCCCTCACTATGGCCATGCGTTGTCTTGACGACCACCACGAGATCGGAACACAGTCGCGCTCGCGAGATCGGAGCGGGGGCCACCAGTCCAGCCGAGAGGCGCTGGTTATGCGGCATAACTACGCTAGGTTCACTAGGTTCACTGACACATCACTAGATTGATGTCGTTACTCTAACGTCATGGCATCACAGTAACACGATAAAATTTCGACAGCTGATGCTATATTTTAGTGCGTTAAGGTGATAAGGGTGATTAAAGGTGATTATACACTATACAGTTGCTATGCAGTGCACGAATTTTTAAAGGCATAAAAATGCGTGCAGAAAGTGTTTGTAAATCAAGTGACTGAACTTCGTCAGATGTGTTTTCATTTGTGAAATACGTTTAAAGTTTGGAAAAAAGTCTGTCCTAGCTATACACGGTAGACGTACAAAATATTTTCCATCCTAATGAGTAACAAATGCAATGGAGTTTACGGCGTTTTAGCAGCGTCATTCTGCGATTGACATTAACCCTCGCCGGACCTATTGGTGTTCTACATACGCGCCGGCCGAGGGGGGGGGGGGTGGCGGGTACGACCCCCCCTCGCCGTTTCGCCCCCGGTGGAGCTAGCGCGTCGCGGAAAAAACGAGCGTGTGCGCCGTTACGAGACGCAGAGATTGGTACCCGATTTTAAGGTCCTAGGTCAACCGGTGACCTCTGAGGTCAGGTCAATTGCCCCAGGGTACGGTTCAGTTTTTGGTGAATAACTTCGCAAAAAACGGCCGCAGAGCGCCGATTTTGGCAGCATCGTGTTCGTCTCGCTCAGGCGCGTCGAATGGTATACTTTTTGTCCGGGTCAGGTCAACTTGGGGTGTTGACCTCAGGTCAAGGTCAGGTCAGCACCCCCAGGTCACGAAGTTGGTCGAAAGAGGTCATGTCGCATATCATTCGATTCGGCAGGTCTTCCTGAGTCCATTGGTGGCTTTCCCGACTCGCTAGCTCAATTTGATCAAGAGTTATTGACGAAAAACTAATATGACCTTGATGACGTCATAAATGACGTCACGCAAGGTCAACATTGCAAAAGTGACGCATCTAACCTTGCAAGGAGTGCATCAAATCACGATTCTGTGTGCTTGAGATAGTTGGAGATCGTTCCCGGCGCCAGAATAGCAGTTTTCATTTTTCCCCATTGACTTATAATGGTGAGGTCACGAAAATGACCTGACCTCATATGACCTTTAGGAAAAATCCGAGATATACAAGTTGTGGGACTCATAATGGATACTAGATCCTGCAAGTTTCATTTCCCTGTGACATCTCCTCTGGCAGTGAGGGCGTTGCGAAGTTGCGACATCTGAAGACCGTGCAGAGGTTCACTTATGACGTCATAGGTCAGTGACCTGACCTGACCCAAAAATGCGGTTGGTGTCAAAAGATGCGGCTTGGATCAAAGGTCAGGTATGCCAAGTTTCAGCTCTCTATCGCCAGCGTGTTCGGAGCTATCGCGAAAAAACCCTATGGGGGGGGGCGGCACCCGCCCCCCCCCCTCGGCCGGCGAGGGTTAATTCAAATTACCGGATATCCCGCATGTAATTGTTCATGCAGCTCAATGCGGGAGAAATTTAATGGCCGTGACGTCAGTCGTGCCTACGTTTTAAGCTCTGCTTGTCATGCAATATGTTCATTAGGAACGCAGTTTCACTCATGGGGCTTACCCAACGACTATTTTTAATGAACAGGTAAGGAAAAGGTATAAATGGATATAACGCCCATTTCGCGAAAGCGTGTGTCAAAATGCAAAATGATGAATAAAACTTCAAAGTATAATAAAGAAAGCAAAGCATATAGCAATACACATAAAGGAAAAACGAATGCAAAAAAAGTCTCGCAAATCGCAATTACCTAGTTTTGTCCTTTGCATTATAGGAAAAGAACAATGCATGAATGTTTTGTTCGGGGAAGGTCAACTTAAAGTGTTTGCCTTAGGTCAAGGTCAGGTCACAGTCTCCCTAGGTCAGGAGGCCGGTCAAATAAGGCACAAAATGAGACTTGCCTGTTATTCCGTTGGTGTCTTTCTCGACTCGCGCTAGCTCAATTCGATCAAGAGTTATTGAACTCCGATAAAACTCCGATAAGTCCGATAAGCTCAAGCGACCGTAGTGACGTCACATAGATGCAACGTCATGCAAGGTCCTCAATGTAAGCCTAAGCATGAGACCCTGCAAGAACTGAACGAAATCACGACAGGTGCCTGAAATGGTCGTGCAAAAAAATAACAGGCTCAATATCATGATGTTGAAGTCACATAACACGCGCACTGCAGGAGGGTTGTTTTCAACCCCCCCCCCCTCTGGTTTTTTCGCTGTAACTCAAAAACCAGTGAAGCTACGTTTTTGAAACTTTGTATAGCTGTTCATCAAACAATTTTACATCACCTTTGAAAACATTAGTGTTAGGTCATGCAAGGTCAGGTCACCAGGTCACGATAAGTGACCTCACCTCATCAAAAGTTTGACGCTGCGCTACATCCACACCAATTGACTGAATGCCATGAAACTTTCAGAAACATATTAGGAGACCATAAGGAACATTTCGTATATCTCGAAATTTTTAGTTCTGTGACCTTAGGTCAGGTCACTTTTTGGGGCCCGGCATGCAATTTCGGACATAACTCGAGAAGTATGGGGCATAGAAACGTCATTCTTTCACCATCCCGCTTATTTTATCAAGACGCGTCGATCAAGATGCATCTTGACCTAGTTTGGTCAATGTTTGACCTAACATGACCTCGATCTCAGGTCACCTGAGGTCACCAACGGTTTTTCTTTTAATTGAATTGAATAACTTTTAATTGAATAGAGATAGAGACTCCGTTCGACGTTTATCGTGCTTGTCTCGTCAATGCGGATCGAATGATATGCAATATGACCTATTTCGGTCAGGTCATGCCCTTGACCTGAGGTCAACTTTTGAACTTGACCTTTCGAGGTCATATTATATACCATTCGATGCCCCTTGACGAGCTAAGAACGATGGTGTGTGAATTATTTCTCTATCTCTTTGGGAAGAAAATTTATTGCAGAAAAAGCATTTCAGGAAAATTTGCAATATAGATCTGACCTCTATAGGCTGAACCGTTGACCTTAGGTCAAATCTGAGGACAGCTTAGCGAAAGAGCGTTTCAACAGCTATCGAATGCTTTTTTCGCAACTTTCTAGCTCATCTAGTTCCCGAGATAAAGCGGGAAATATGGAGGGATGTCGAGATCGCTAAAAAATCGCAACATTTTGAGTTTGGTGACCTCTGCTGACCTCGTTTTTGACCTGATCCAAAAATGATCTGAGTATTTCTTGTAGATCTCGTCTCAACCTATCCAACGCCGTTTACCGCTTGTCGCTACGTTGCGCCGTTTTCGAGATCTCAGGTGGGGGGGGGGGGTTCAACCCCCCCCCCCCTGCAGTTCGTGTTTGGCTCAGACCCGCTGCAGTGCGCGTGTTAATAAGCCTAAGCATGAGACCTTGCAAGAACTGAACGAAATCACGACAGGTGCCTGAAATGGTCGTGCAAAAAAAAATAACAGGTTCAATATCATGCTGTTGAAGTCACATAACCGACCTACGCACAGGTGACCCTTAAAAAATCATAAGACTCCAACACCTGATAGTCGTTTCGGTCACGTGGCTTCCTTCCCTCCCTGCAGGTGCTATGCAGGAGCTGAGAGCCGGCGACTTTTTCTGCAAGCTGGACGGAACGCTGACCTGCCAGAACTACACTGTGCGCTGTGTCGGAGAGGGCTTCATCAACTGCGACGGTCCGAGCAGCACACGCGGTCAGTCGGGAGAGGGTCGGGCGTGGGCTCAGCTCCAGTGCAGGATAGCAAACGCTATTATATTTGTCAAAATATATGCAGTAACGTGGAGTGCGTGAGACTCATATGGTAGTTAGCTTGAATAAAATGCTAAAAATGATTGAGTAGCGATTAGGATGGGTAAGCTCAACTTCGAAAGTTACATACACTTTTTAACGTTTGAAAAAAGTAGTTAGCTAATGTGTAAAATTGTCCGAATCGTTATTGTTTTTTAAATGAAATATGTTATGGTGTATGTATTTATTCCAGAGTCGGCCACCTTGGTGCTGAAGATGATGACATCCGAGTCAGACTTTACCGGTCAGTTTCCCGATCTTCTCGCCTACCTTCAATCGCTGGTGACCGCTGGTACGAAAACCAACGACTCGATGGATACAGGGGACGTCGTCGTCTTCCCCAAATCTTCGACAACATCTGGTGGAGGATTTGACCTAAGCCAGCCAGCCAAACCTTCAGCGAAGACTGGAGGATTTGATCTCAGCCAACCAGCTAAGGTTCCTGTGAAGAGTGGAGGATTCGATCTCAGTCAGCCAGCCAAGTCTCCGGCGAAGACAGGAGGATTTGATCTTAGTCAGCCTGCCAAGCCAGCAGTGAAGGCAGGAGGATTTGACCTCAGCCAGCCAGCTAAGGCTCCAGGAAAGACTGGAGGATTTGATCTCAGTCAGCCCGCCAAGCCAGCAGTGAAAGCTGGGGGCTTCAATCCTAGTCAGCCTGCTAAGCCAGCAATGAAGACTGGAGGATTTGACCTCAGCCAGCCAGCTAAGGCTCCTGTGAAGACTGGAGAATTTGACCTCAGTCAGTCCGCCAAGCCAGCAGTGAAAGCTGGGGGCTTCAATCCTAGTCAGCCTGCTAAGCCAGCAATGAAGACTGGAGGATTTGACCTCAGCCAGCCAGCTAAGGCTCCTGTGAAGACTGGAGGATTTGACCTCAGTCAGTCCGCCGAGCCAGCAGAGATGGCTGGGGGTTTCGATCTTAGTCAGCCAGCCAAACCTTCTGTGAAGACTGGAGGATTTGACCTCAGCCAGCCAGCTAAGGCCCCTGTGAAGACTGGAGGATTTGACCTCAGCCAGCCAGCTAAGGCCCCTGTGAAGACTGGAGGATTTGACCTCAGCCAGCCAGCTAAGGCCCCTGTGAAGACTGGAGGATTTGACCTCAGTCAGCCAGCTAAGGCTCCAGCAGCGACTGGGGGATTTGACCTCAGTCAACCAGCCATACCACCAATGTCGGACGCTCCGGGCCAGCTCAATAAAGAGACAAAAATGACAACTACCTCCCCAACATCAGAGACCCTGCTAACTCCCAGCCTTAGGTCGACCCCCACGGTTTCGCCCGACACCCTCAGTGTCACCACCTCCGCTGGTGTGGCCGCGACCACGGAAACCACCAGCCAGGGAGAACGCCGTCAAAGAGCAGCAGGCCGCGACGACGCAGGACACCATAGCATGCCGATCAAGAAGAAGGCAGAGAGCGATGACAAACCTGACGGCGGAGAGGGAGAAAAGAAGAAGACTCTTCTTCGGCAGCTGGACAGTTTGAGGACGCAGCTGGTCGACGACAACGAAACATTCCCCGCCAACTCGTCCACTTCTAAGGGTTAGTTCCATGCTGAGACACAAAGTCGGCGATTTACTTGTTATGGAGTTATTTTGCTTTAGGTATTGTCGCTTATAAATGCGTAAAAGAAAATGCTTCCATGGAGAGGTTGCAATCTAGATAACTATCACCATCAAATAACAGCGCTGCGCATGACATACCTACTACACATCAAAACGCGTTGCTGCCGGTAGACATGCCTGATGCCACAATATTTACTAATCGTCCAGCACCGCTGGCTGCATCTGATGACGACTGGCCTGGCGCCGCGTGTCCGCAGCCCTGGACGTGCTGGAGGCGGAACTGCAGCGTCCCGCCGACTCCGAGGGCACCAGCTGCACCGTCGCCCGGATGGTCTGCAGCGAACTACCTCCACTCAGCAGCTGCACCGGCACCTCCGCCGGAAAATGCCATGGTAACCGACTGGGTAACGGTAATGGTAACTATGACAACCACCACCGGGACACGGTAACGGTCTCGGCAACGACACGGTAATGGCGGATGACACAGTAAAGGACTTGGTATAGTGGTAGGAGACGCAGCAACGTCACTGTAGCAGTAACCGAAACAGTTGTTGACACAGTAGCAACGGTAATGGACGTGGGAACCACACGATAATGGTAATTGTACCGGCAAATAGCGCGGAAACGACACGTCAGCCAAACGGTATAACGACATAAAAATTACAGGGTTACGCTTTTAACGACAAAGTCAACGGCATGGTAATGGGAAATAACATGATAACGCATATAACGCTGTAAACGGCTCAGTAAACGACAGGATATATTAAAAGACATTATAATCACAGTAAACACGTTATAATCACTGTAAACAAAACGGCGAATGTTGGCAAAACGGTGACAGTAAACGCCATAGTAGAAATGATATGGTAACCAGCATGTCAACAGTAACCGTCTCGTTAGCCGTTAAGTTTTCTGTGCGATACAGGGAACGACTTAATGGTTAAAGAACGCATGTCTTGATCAAATGTTGCTGCTTATTAATGGAATGCATTCGCTGGTCCGTGGTCGCACATGTAAACTGTAAACTGTATGTAAACTGCACAGTGCACATGTAAACTGCTGAGGTGAAGTGGGTGGACAATCTGCTTTACAGAGAAGCAGCCGATGACTCGGGAGGGGATGATGGTCGCCCTGCTCGTGCCCATCACCATCACCACCATCGGCATCATGATCTACGTCCTCTTCTGGAAGTGAGTGCATTCAAGAACTTTCTGTCTCATACTGTTGCAATGTATTTTTGTCCCCTTCTTTTGGTTTATTCTTAGCAGAACTAAAGACACGCATCTCGCGATGTTTGGAGCAGTGTACAGTCTATAAAGTACTTTGCGCTGTTCGGTATCGATTGTCGCCGTCGCTGAGTTGCGGCTGCCCACGTCGCGCCGTCTCTCTCCGACTCCCCGGTGCCGTGACTGCCGACAGGCGCGTGGGTAGTCAGGTGGACGTGGAACAGCCGAGTGCCGAGCGCGCCGGAGCCGCCAAAAAGGCCGAGGCCGGCGCCAGCCAGCCGGCCGCCTAGGGCCGCTGGCCGGGCGTGGTCCATCTGAAGACCGGCGGTAGTCGACGGCGCACGCCCGGCCAGCTGCCGTTCGCACCCGCCGCTCCCGCCGGCGCCCGCGCCTCGCCGGCCACCCGTTGTGCCGGCGCCCACACGCCCCGCGACGGCGCCCTGACGCCCGGCCGCTCCGTGAACGATGACGCCGAGCCCGTCAGACAGCACTCGGACGGAGCCCCGTGAGCTCCGGCGCCCGAAAACGTCCCCCTCTCCGACCTCCGTCACTCATCGGGGCACTCCCTCGCACATCGGGGCGCCCCCTCCCCTGAGTTTCAGTATCCGGAGTGAACGGGCGCACTCGAAGCCACCAAGGTTCAAGGGGTTTTGGGAGTGCCCTACAATCCGTCAGAATCGTCCAAGACAGAACGGGAGGCACCCGATGACCCCCTGGAATACCAGGAGCGCCCAAGGAAAGCCCTCACCTCACTCATTCACTACAAGGGAGGACGGCCAACTTTGGTCGTTTGCCTACGTGGGGTTTGAGGGTCACGTCCTGGTGATGTCTGGTTGATAAGATGCAGGTAACGTCCTGTCTAAGCCCAGTGGGATGCCGCTGATTGCTGGGGGTAACGGTAGCGCTAGGATGGGTGGGCTGACCTGCGCCGCGTGCTGCGAAGTCAGGTTTGCTTCAGAATACGGCTGGTGAGGATGGTTCGGTAACGACAGGACCGCTGTCCGAATTGAACATTATTTGTCTTGTTCACCGACACGGTTCGATATTGTACCCATGGAGACTTCAAATGTATTTGATGTTAGATTGATGTGAAATGAACACCCTGTAGAGGGTTTGGAATGACAGTGCGCACCTAAAGAGGATGAAATTCAGACCTCCTCACTATCCACGTTTATCCTCAAGGCCTAAGTTATCGATAACTGGTTGTAAAAGAACAACAAGTAATGTTACTATTCTGAATAAATCGGTAGGTACAGTTTGTATTTGCATTGTTAACCCTCGCCCATGTAGGGGGGGGGGGGGGTGCAACCCCTCCCCCCTGAGGTTTTTCTTAGCTACACGCCGAACCGTTTCAGATAGCCTGCTCAAGTTTTCAGTACCCTTTGGGGCATCCTTTGCGCAACTTTTGGTATTTTTTTTTGTCAAGGTCATGTCAGGTCACGGAGTTATGACGTCATAAAGGGAACGACCTCCGGCCAGATTTACGCTAAATTGGAGATTGCTTCACATTGGTATAAATGCCGACTGACCTGACGCACTGATGGATTGTTTCAGAATCACAACTGGCTGATTTGACATTGGCACAATGTCCGTTGACATTTTGAAGGTCACTTAAGGTCAAGGTAAGGTCAGTGACCTCGGTTAACCTGTAATGACTTCTTGCACTTGTATGCCTTTTCGGGGTATTTTGATGCCCTGAACTCGAATTTGCTATCCATTTCAGGCATCGTCGGTTGTATCTTGTAGTTCATTTTGGGTCAGGGTCAGGTCAGTGACGTCACACGCCTGACGTGACCCAATGCACAAATGACCTTGCAGACTTCCGATGCTCCCAACGCATCATTTTTAGAGTTATAACATCGAAATACACACCAAACAATAGAGAATTGATCAAGGATCACGATAGTGAAGGTTTCAAGTCGATATCTCTTACCGTTTTGCCGCAATCGGCGCGGAAATATGAAAAAGTTAGATTTTTCCTAAAATTTGACCTTTGACCGGTCATAAGTAGGTCAAATGTTGACCTAGGACCAAAAAAATATGCCACCAATCGCGAGATCTCGTTGAGAGCAATCCGTTGATCTTTTCCGCTAAGCTCTACGACGCTTCGTTTTCAAACGCCAGAGGGGGTCGCACCAACCCCCCCCCCCCCCCTGCGTGGGCGAAGGTGGCAAAACACCGTTTACGGGCGAGGGTTAAGAGGTATGCCTGTAAACAAATAACTGTGAGATATAAATGTTGTGTTATTACATATATGCTGAATGCGACGTATTTACCGAAACACTATTTTATTGATGTATTTATCATAGTGACAACGGGTTAGTAATGCTGATGGCGAGAGTTAATCCGCGCCCTGGTGGGGTCTGTTTATAACGCGACCAGGTGGGGGGAGCTATTTTTGCCCCCCCCCCCCCACTCGTATCTCCGAAATTACTGAACGGATCCACCAAATTCAAACGGTGTTCGAAAGCCCTGTCAAATTTGTCGCAGGAACTCCAAGTTCATTGACCTTGAGTTACCGATGACGTCAAATGTCAGGTCAAAGATAAAATGTTTTGCCGGTCACGGGTCTTCTAAGGAATGCGCTATAACATCAAGTAAAACGCATTACTTCGAAAATATGCGATAGGGCTTCAGTTGGATAGGAAATATGTTGCTATTAGAGGTCACTGATAATACCAGGTCAGGTCATAGGTCAGGTCACCAAGGGTCAGCTCATAAACCTAATTTTACTGGGGCTGTGTGATGCATGTTTTATGGCTATTTTTTCATTTCAAACTCAATGCTGCTGTTTATAAGACCATCAGGAACGGTTTAGGTCACGTCCTGGTGGAGGTCAGGCGGGGTCTGTTTTTCATCAGGTCAAAAAGGTCCAATTTCAAAGCTGATTATATTCATTCGATGCAGCTCGTCACGGAGAGTCTAATGGTGGTCTTTTTTTGTGCTGCGTTGTCTAGAATTGCTAAGAATTGAGTCTGAAAAGTTGACGTTATCAATTTTGAACAGTTTTTTTGCTCTAACCTGGCCAAAAAAGAGATATCGATCTAAAATTTAGTATGTGAATAGGAGTTGGTAAGCGCTATCACATATATTCCGTTTTTTTTTTAAATCGAAAAACGTTTTGGGTTTTTTCGCAATTATATCCTTTAAAAAATATTTATGGAGGGTTCAAATTCAAAGTTTTAAAATATCGAGATAGCTGTTTCGTAGCCCTGGTAATCATACACATTTTACGTCTGAAAGGTTTTTCTGTATCTTCAAAGCTAAAGGCTTGACAGCTCTTCCTGCGAAATCTTTTTTGGGTCGAAAACGGCAGAACATGACGTCACTAACGACATTTGCGGCCAACCTATCAAAGCCTTTGGAAAAGTTTTGGTCAAAATATGTAGAATTGATGCCCGGGAGGGAATTCTGAAAGTTTGGTGACTTATATCGGCGCAGCGGTTCTGGGGATATAGGTATTGAAAGTCAGGAGGGGGGGGGGGGGCAAAAATGACCCCCCACCAGGGCTCATGTTAACTCACGCTAATGTGCATATCAATGCCTCTGCTAGACGTTTATTGCGACAAATTTGAAAACTGATTTAGGACGGGCAGTTTTTCGGCTCGAATTTAAATCATAATTACGAGTATACACAGAACAATCATTTCGGTTGCGAGTATTTTGGCCAGTGCCATGCTAACAATAGTGCTCAAAGGGTTTGATAAGCATACATATACGCTCAATGTCTTATCGTAAAATAATATGTTGCTTTCATGTAATCAATGTGATTTTATTCACACACGCTTTTGAGGTGGTGTCGCTTATATCCATAGACCCTTCAGACTCTTATTTTCTCGGTAGTATTTTCTGATGACCATTGTATGACATTCGTGATATTGCGGACCGACGCTTGCTCAATTAGCCTATTTTTCAACAAGCTTGCTGCTTTGGACGTCCCGAGTTGTTTACTGTCTGCTTATCGGGCAATGTGCTGTAATAGCTGGATGGAAGTTCAAGGAAGCGGCCGTGTCCTTGCCCATTTTGTCACCCAACGTAACTGATCGAAAACTGTCACTCAGCGGAAATACAATGAACCTAGTAGTCCTAGTACCTACCTGTAGCTGTATGTTGGCTGTGCGCCCGACGCGACTGTGATGTTCAATAAACTTTGCGGAGTGTGACGAATGTGTCTGTGCTTATGCACTCTTATAACTATTAAAATGGTACATCTCAACGTTGGCTACGTTTCTTTGCGGAGATAAAATTTATCCACTCTCCCATTTAAGTACCTACAAAAAAATGTCCTCGCAAGCATGACGTAGGCTCTATAGTCTATACCCTCGTAACCCCCCCCCACACGCACACACCCATATGAGTTAACTATGCCTATTTACCTGCTTAAATAAATGCTACTTTTGAGTGGGTAACAAGGCATCCATACCTATTTATCAATCAAAGAATTAGTTATTCATTCAGTAATATAGCACCTTTTTGCCATTGACAGTACTGATTGTCGTATTTGCTTAGCAGTTAGCTAGGTGAGATTCTTTTGGTCATTAGAGACCACTTCACGATATCGGCTGAGATAAGTAGGTATGTGTGTAAGTACTCCAGAAATATAACGTAGAGGGCTGAGTCGACCCTCGGACTGGCTAGCTACAGCGGCTCAGTTCATTCCGTTGGGATGAGGGTGTCACGAAAAGGTTGGCCAGGCCGCCCAGTCATTCAAACGGACACTCCGAAGGGTTATGGTAGGGTTCCTTCCGTAGGTATCTGCATTCTGCTCTGCCCTCTCTCGGTTGTCGAGTGGGTCAACTGTGGTGATCGGTAGCCCAGACAAAGTAGTGCTGGGTGGATTGCGAAGGATTCTACCCTGAGAGGACGGATGCATTTTCATAATAGGTAAGGTGGGGATCTTATCCGTGATCGCCACATTACCTACATGCTTACGACATTGCTCACTGACTACGATAAGAAACACACGCCATGTCACAATGCTTAGTCTTTTATTGGCAACCCTGGTTGCATTCATAATGGAAACAAAGCAACTGACATGAATACCGCCCTCGCGCGGTAAGTTTTATGGCGTCGGCCGACAGTAGGTACAGGTGTCTCGGTGCGCCCAGTGGAGCTCTATCGTACAGGTGCACCGTGCACGACGAATGATGACTGGTGCTGCCACCTACACTGCGCTCGGCCTGCCACCTGCCGGCTAGGAATGGCGGCTTGCCGACGTCGGTCTGCAGCGCCGACAAATGAAAGACTGCAGTCAACCACCCCGACTAGAGTAACGACAACTGAGACAAAAACAAAACCGTACTCGACGACGCTCCACGCACATTGAACATAAGACATCGGTACAAAACGCGCGCGCCATACTCGCCGACTGACTAGAAAACGCCTGATGTCGGTACAGAGCCGGGCTCGCACGCCTGAGGTCAGCGAGTCCCTTCTCTCAGAGACGGGTTGTGAGCGATGCCACCACCACAGTCCAACGCATGCCACCGCGCGATCCACGTTTGGTTCACATCTTTAGAGCTACACGCGACGGCCTAAGTGTAAATATACGTGTGACGCCGGTGGGCGCGGACGGGCGCGGGCGGCGGTAGCCGTGAGCTCAGCGCCGCCGCGCTGATGAGAGGTCCCTCCGCCGGCAGCACCGTCCCCACTGGCGGCGCCAGTGGGCTGCCTGAGAGACGCACTGGCCGGCCGCCGTCCGCCGGTGAATCGACAACAGTGCACCGGCCTAGGCCGCTCCAAAAATAACACCTTTCTGGGCACGCATGCACGGCAAACGGCATGTGTCCGGTTATTGCTGGTTTGGCTAGACAAGCGGCGCCGGCCCTACGGTGCTGGCTGCATTCAGGAACATCTCAGTCACCCGCACACACAGAGACAGTCGCTCGCTCTCAGTCGCCCGCCTCCTCAGCCTCTCTCAGTCACAGTCAGTCGGCCGGTGGGCTCCGTGCACCGCGCAGTCGCGGCAGAGAGGGGCATCGGGCCGGGTCGGATCCACATCCCCCAGGGAGCGGCTGCGCCGGCGCAGTGACCCGCTGGGCCCGGCCCGCGGCGGGCTGGCCGTGATACGAGCAGTCGCTCCTCCCGCCTCTAGTGACTGAGTGCGCCGTGCGCGGTTACCAGTGCTGACGGCGGGCTCCCGTCTCTCTGCCCAGCTGCCCCCGCGGCGCAGTTCGCCCAGTCCCAGCTGCCGACGGAGGGCTGGTCGACAGCCCGTCTCCGGGCCGGACAGCCTCCGTCGCTCCGTCAGCGCGCTCG